GAGAAGGTAGAAAAAGTCTACTATATGCCTGTGTCACTAAAACAAAATAACAAAAAAATTCCCAATGTCTGGAATTTAATTGGGTCTCACCCACTGCTATCAAACAGTGCCAATATTCCCTCTGCTATTTTGGTAACAGGTAAAAAAGTAAAATAATGATGAAAAGGGCATGGAAAAATACTGAATCAATCTACACACACCATATTCAGAATATAAAAAGGATGGAAAATAAAGGGAAATAGCGAAGAATGTATTTAGCCTCATGCATGCACCCACTTATACTCAACTTTCTTTAAAGAAAGGTACTGGTAAAAGTCAGATTATTTCAAACTAATTTCAGGTACAAGGACAGGAAGCTACTATTTCATATCTCAAATATTCAAAGCAAAAGAAAGAAAACAATTACCAGTTAAAAAGACAACTAAACTCAAGGATACAACAACAGGAAAGAGCACTGTAGGCTTCAAACAGATGGGTAGCAATGTCCAGTCTTTTGGAATCCACAGACTGCTGGTTGTTGACCAAGGCTAATTTGAGTAAGTGAGGAATAACAACTGAAAAGTAAGGATATGAGTCAAAACTCTTTTCTAAGTTACTTCTTATATTAATTTAAAAAGAAATGTCATTTTTGCAGCAGCCTTTAGGAATAAAAAAATAGCTTTTCTTCCTATTCTGTTCTGTAAAAGGAATGCACCTAAAATCTAACCTAAATTCATCGAATTGTTAATGTACGGTACTGTAAATCACTTTAAAAAAAAGCAAGTTTTTACCAACATTTGCCACAGTGCTATTATGATAAAGATCATAAGGTGCTTCTGATACCAATGTATTCCATCTGGTAAATGGTGGTTTTCTAGTAGGACTACTAGCTGGGGTTTAATTTTAATATGAGCTCTTCAAATTAAGAAACATATATCTTTGGAATAAGCAAGAATTACAGTTTACAGAACATATTTCTCAATATTGATTCCCTATTATTCAAATTCCACACCTTGTCTCCATAAATACTACAAATTCTATTAGCTAGTCTTATGATGAAGTGTACTGAATACTGTTTTTACTTTCACTTTGCTGTCTTAAGGTAAGGGACATCATTGTTTTTCCCATCTCTTAGATTTAAAGGCTGTGAATAAAACCATTTGCCTTTTTTCTTCCTTTCTAAAGAAACCCACTTTTATCTTGTAGATCTGTGTTAGACCTAAGGAAGATATTTATTAGGAATATCACAACTCTAAGGCTCTTAAAAAAAAGATAGCAATTTGAGGCTTGATACTAAGTCTATTAGAAGTTGGTAAAAATATTTTCAATGGGCTTCAATGATCACTTTCATTACTCCCTCCATTTACTAGGACTTTCAATTCGTAAAATGTAGGCATTTTCCTCTGAGACTAAAACCAGCAAAGTAAGAACTGAAAAGCTGTGTAAGATAATCAAATACAAAAACCTCTGGAGCACAGTTCCAAAACCAGAAACCGTAAGAGCCAGTGCAGGTTAAGGGACAATTAAAAAAAGAGTGAGGAATACAACTTACATTCATCTCTAAATCTTGGCTCAGCATTAGGTCCAACTCTTCCAAATGTTTTTATAATCTCTGTATGTAAAGAATGTTGGTCTTGATACTGAGGGTCTTCCAGGAAAGAAGCCAGCTGCATTTTTACTCTTTCCAGTAGCTTAAATTTTACAGAAAAGTAAAGGTTAATACAAAAAAGTTTGATCATCAGAAAACATTGAAGCCACTCACTTTTGGTGTTCTATCAATTTTCAATTATTCATATTTTAAAACTGAGGTCTTCTGTGAATGTAGAAATTCTTCTCTGCAACAAGATACTTTAATTGCATGGTGTGTCCTCCGTTTTAGGAATATCAGACAGGATACCGATAAGTAATTTGTGGTCACTGACATACAGAATTAGCTGTAGCCTACTTGGTTTAATTTACTCCCATATAACCTGCTCTCCTGTCTATCATTTGCTTAATTCTGTTTTCAACTTTCAACACTATTAGCTTCCCCCCCATTTTATTAATACTAAAGTATTAAGTGTTCCATCACTGTTTTTAATACCAGATACTTAATTTAGTGGGAAATCACATGGAGTAATAGGGTCAGAGGGTAAAGTAAGTATTGTATTAACAACATTAGATAGGATTCTGAATATATTATTAAGCAAAGACCTGGAAAGTAGTAAAAGCATTTTTAGGCTCTCAAAGAAAACCAGAATGTACAAGCTGGCAATCTTTTCTACTCTCAAACTGAAAAACAAACAAACAATATTAACTTTGTTTTAAATTTTGTAAAGTTCCTCTAGACATTTTTTGCACAAGGTATCACCTCTCTACTCCACTGGCAGGTTTATAATAGTGAGCAAGGACTTAGCTCAATGCATATTTAACATGAATTCCAAACTATAAAATAGTTACATATCCATCTTCCAAGTACTTGTGAGTAAGTAGTCAGGGATGACTCACATTTTCTCAAACACATTATTTTAGGATTTAAGAACATGTTGAAATTGCAGGAAGAATGCAAGCTCA